GTGGTCGTAATCTCGCGCGCGTAGAGGAGGCACTTAACTACGCAGCCCAGCGGCCCCTCTCGGCTCCTCTCGGCCCCTCTCGCCCCTTCTCGGCCCCTCTCGGCCCCTCTCGGCCCCTCTCGGCCCCTCTCGGCCCCTCTCGGCCCCTCTCGGCCCCTCTCGCCCTCTCGGCCCCTCTTGGCCCCTCTCGGCTCCTCTCGGCTCCTCTCGGCCCCTCTCGGCCCCTCTCGGCCCCTCTCGGCCCCTCTCGGCTCCTCTCGGCCCCTCTCGCCCCCTCTCGGCCCCTCTCGGCCCCTCTCGGCCTCTCGGCTCCTCTCGGCCCCTCTCGGCCCCTCTCGGCCCCTCTCGGCCCCTCTCGGCTCCTCTCGGCTCCTCTCGGCCCCTCTCGGCCCCTCTCGGCTCCTCTCGGCCCCTCTCGGCCCCTCTCGGCCCCTCTCGGCCCCTCTCGGCCCCTCTCGGCCCCTCTCGGCCCCTCTCGGCCCCTCTCGGCCCCTCTCGCCCTCTCGGCCCCTCTCGGCCCCTCTCGGCCCCTCTCGGCTCCTCTCGCGGGCGGGCCTTGGCATGGTGGACGGTGCGGGTGGAGAGCACGCGCTGCACGATGGCCTGGTCGAGGCACCAATACCACACGCCTGCACCGCGGCCTCGCGTCACACGAGGCTGGCGGGGCGGAGGCGGGCGGGCGGAGGCGGGCGGGGCGGCGGCGCTCGCCAGCGACGTGCTGGCCGAGGAGCATGCCGAGGGTGGGGAAGGAGGGGTCGTCGGGCGGCTTGTAGATGTGGAAGAAACGAGACCACTCCTATCACAGTCACTAGTCATGCCTCGTGCCTCATCGTGCATGGTAGATCTGGAAGGAGCAACACTCTCCTCGCTGGTCAGCGAGGGGGGGGGCTCGCTGCGCAGCCCGCTCATCCCGCCCACTCGCCCGAACCCGACGGCGGTCATCGTGACGGCGCCAACCAGCATCACGACCGACTGGGCGACCTATGGTTGGCGAAGGAGGAAGGATGGACTGGTGTGACAGTTGCTGTTGCGGGAAGGCGGGGTCGGCGACGTCGGTGACGATGACCGCCGCGAGGCCGCCCACCGCGGTGTAGCAGGCGGTCAGCCCGACCAGCCCGGCGGCGGCGATCCACCTCGGCCAGCCAAAGACGGAGGTGAGCACCGTGGCGGCCGAGTAGATGGAGACGGAGAGCTTGGTGAGAAGGTAGAGGACGAGCGAGATGAGCGAGAGCCAGCGGCGGAGGCGCGGGCCGTACCGCCGGCCGAGGTACTCGGGCAGCGTGGCGATGCCGCAGCGCAGGTAGACCTGCCGGCGTCATCGGGCAGCGGCAGGGAGTCAGAGAGAGAGAGAGAGAGAGAGAGAGAGAGAGAGAGAGAGAGAGAGAGAGAGAAGTGAGAAGAGAGTTGTGTGTGTGTGTGTGTGTGTGTGTGTGTGTGTGTGTGTGTGTGTGTGTGTGTGTGTGTGTGAAGGAGAGATAGAGAGTAGAATGAGTAGACCGGAGCAAATAGCCAGCCGAGCAGAAGAAGGTGGAGCGCGGCCGACCACTCAAAGTAGGCACAGGCGACTCCGGTGGCGGATGCCGAGCCCGCGAGCCCCAGGAGGTGCTCCGACCCTACGTTGGAGACAAAGAGCGAAAGCCCTACCGCTGGCCAGCGCATACTGCGGCCCGCGAGGAAGAAAGATTCTGCTTCGTCCTGCCCACCGCCATCGCCGCCGCCGCGAGCCCAGAAGATGATGCCGACGGCGGCCATGCCGACAAAATAAAGGGCAATGAGAGTGATGTCGATCGCCTCAAGGGTGACCGGCATCACGCAGGTGTCCTGTCGCCCCGGTGTGCTCGGTGTGCTGCGCGCAGCAATTCCACCAGCGGTGTGCCACAGCTCGGTGTGCTCCAAGCTCCGCCTGGCGCAAGTAGTATTTGTTTTCTTTTTTCGCCATCGTCCTCCCTTATTGTTACTTCCTGTCGTCTGTTGTTTGTTGTGCCCTTGTTTGTTCTCTTGGCACCTTGGAGTGCTGGGGGGGGCGACAGGGAGGATGTGGCCTTGAGTTATGTGTACGCCTACTCAGGGTGTGTGGCAGCCCGCTCGCTGGCTGTGGTGTGTGTCTTGTGAGCCTGTTTGTGTCTGTGTGTCGCTCGTGCGTGCCGTCATCATCTGTCCAGCGTCCACCCATACCGCGTTGGTGTCCAGTCCGAGCCTGGCTGTTCTTCACCTTCCTACATACATACATACATCCCTCCGCGCGCGGCATGATCGTGGCAAGCACTCCCTTCCTTTGCTGCCGCTTCTCGCTTCAATTCACGAAGGGTCCCCTGTGGTGAGACCGCCCCCTCCATGCCCTCAACGAGAAGCTGCAAACTCCCGCGGGTCCCCGTCCGATACGTCTGAGGTGCGAGGAGAGGAGGAGCGTCGCCACTGCGCCCTGAGGCGCGGCGGCGGCGGCGGCGGCGAGCGCTCCGCCCGAAGGGCGAGGGAGGCAGCGCCACGTTGCGCGGCACAGCCGTAGCTATCAGTGCGCCGGGGATGTAGCCAGGACTCTGCACCGGATGCCCGCAGAACCAAGGGATGGGAAACGCCGTCGAGGCCGGGTGTGGCCAGGAGCCGGCAGAGGGCGGCGGTCCGTTCGGAGGTGAAACGGAGTGCAAACAGAGTGCAGAAAAAAGCGCAACTTTCAACCGCGGATAACCTCAGAGGGAGTGCGAGTGGCAGAAAAGCGGCAACTTTCAACCGATAACCATTTGGTGGCTCGATTCCCAGCGAGGCGAGTCAGGCGTATTTACTGTTTTGGGCGAGCCGCGCCGCCGGATTGGGATTATGGTAGATGAGAGGCCGCCGCCCTTGCAGGGCGACGCGGGCCCAGCCGCAAGCTCCTTATTGTCGCAGACGGCCTGAGGTCGGCTGGCTGGCGGTGAAGTCGTCGTGGCACCGCTGGCGAGGCGAAGCGCAGCCGGCGAAGCGCAGCCGGCGAGGGGCTGGCTCTCGTCTGCAGGCACGAGCGTGCGTGGAAACAGCTGGGCGGTACCGCCCTGGCTGGCCGCGGGCAGGAGGTCGTGGGAGAGGGGCGTCGCCGCGGCTCGCGGCGGCTACTCCTGCGGCTTGCCGAGGAGGGCGTTCCTCAGCCAGGTGTTGCCCAGCCCGCCGAGGCCAAAGGCGGGGAAGATGCGCATCGAGCGCGCGCCGACCGTCTCCGTGTACTTTTGGCGCAGGAACGCCAGCCGGTCCGAAGCCGTGCGGCCCGAGCCCAGCTTGTGCACGTAGAGGTCGTACGCGATCAGGTGCAGCGGCACCGTCAGCCACTGGATGGCCATCACGGGCGCGATCTGCGAGACGTACTTGGCAGTGGACGGCGAGTAGTCCCTCTCAACCATGGACTGGGAGATCGCCGGCGGAAGGGAGAAGGCCGTCGCCATCGTCCCGAGGTCGCGCACGAAAAAGAGGCTCCACGACACGAGCGGGAACGGAGCCGGCGGCTTGCCCGAGAACCATATGCCAAAGATGCGGTCCTTGCTGGCCGCCGCACCGAGGTTGACGAGGGTGGTGCTGGCGAGCTTGGGGATCTTATTACTCCTGCTAGAGGCTTCGCAGACGCTGTCGGTCCAGTTCGCCGCTAGGTAGGTGGCGGTGTACACGCCGTGAACGACAAAGTACTCGCGCGACGTCAGAAACTTGTGCGGTGTCGTTAGGAGTTTGACCAGCGCAGTCCTCATAGACGCGCCGAGCGTGTTTGCGCCGGTGGCATTCTCGACGACGGCCTTGTCGATGATGGTGACAGGGATGGACAAAGCTGCAGAGGCGATGAAGGCGGCGGCGAAGTCTTTAGCTAGGGTGATGGCCTCTGGGACCGCCCAGCTCGAGGAGCCGCCCGTTCTCTCGACCGCCTCCGTGCTGGAGGTGAAGGGCGGCATAGCACACGCGCGCGTGCTCAGTTCTCGAAGCTGGTCGGCGCACGCTCGGGCGGGCGGGCCGGCCTCTTGTAATATGGTGCCCACTGGGCCTGCCCACACACACCGGCCAAACACCGGCGCTGCGTGCGTCGCGTTCTTTTTATTTGCTGATTTTTGGTTTGCGCTTAGTGTGGCGTCCAAACCGGTGCAACACCGCGCCGTTCGTGAGAAGGGGCGGGGGGGGCCGAGTTCGGCTTAGGGGGTTGTCCGGTGGAGGGGCCCCGGGCGGGCGGGGAGGAGCAAGGTGGGTCGGGGCGGGCGGTCGGGGCGGGGCGGGGGCGCGGGGCAAAATTACTCGCTCGGGTCAGGGTGTAGGTATATTTGTTTGGGTGGGGCGGGGCGGGGTGGGGATGTTGGGGTGGGGCGGGGCGGGCGCCGGAGTGGGAGTCATATCTCATATGACTGCTGAGCGAGAGGGAGTTTTAGCAATACCAAACAACTCTACACTCACACATCATTTGGGGCCTGGTTTTGATGAGACTACTCTCTCTCTCTGGTTTTGTGTTGTTGCTGCTTCTGAGAGTTTTTTTGTTTGTCTGCTTCTGGTGGCGACGGCTTCTGAGGAACGTCGCCCGCGCCTTTTCTGTCGTGTGAATCGTGTGCGACCGCCTGGGGGCAGTCTGTGGGAAACTCGCCGCGCACAGGAAAAAATTAAATCATCTTTTTTTCTTCCCTTGCGTGGACTTGTGCAGGAGCGCCCGCCGCGGACCTAGTTCCCAACCTCCCCGCGCGGGGCCGCTCCGGGGCGACCCGGGCGCCCTCCGACCACGCTGCCACACTACTATCCTTCACCAGTAATGCTTGTCCCAGCACGAACTGCGCTCGAAGAGCACAACTCGGTAGATCCTCTTCATACGTCGACCGCCGATGCAGAGCAGGGCGGTGCGGCTGAATGCGCCGCGGATTCAGAGACCGCTGACATCACCGCGTGCCATGCGACACCGAAGGGTTCGCGGCGGTATGCACGCCTCGCCACCGGTTCCGGCGCCGGTGCGGAGGACGGCGCTGACGAAGGCGGCCGGACTACCCGGCGCGAGAAGCGCGAGAGGCCGCGCCGAGCCCGAGGCCGGACGAGACCCTCTCCCCGCGTGCAGCGTCGCGCTGTGGAGCGTGCGAGAGTGGGCGAAGCTCCATCACCACTGCAGCTGTGCAGACACGCTGCTGCCCTATGCACAGTTGGGCTCGCGCCCGGGCTCCTCCTGATGTCGATGCCCTTTAGCGGTGAGGACGCACCACAGGTCGTCAGGCGCCCGCACCGATCGCCGGCGCAGGCTTGGTACGACGCGTACGTATTCTGGCGATCGGCACCCCCTCCCGACCCACCGCTGCCACCGCCATCATCGCCGCCGCCCGCTCCACCGCAGCCCTCGAGCCCGCCACTGCCGCCATCTCCACCGCCGTCTCCACCGCCGTCTCCACCGCCGGCGTCGCCTCCTCATCCGCCGCCGCCCGCACCGCCACCTCCCACCAGGCTGAGCCCAGCCCGGTGTGACGCCCTCTTCCGCGATCGGGACGGCATCTTTCGGCAGATGTGGAACCGCGAGGGGTGGATGCAGCTGCACGGCGGCGAGCCGTGCTGGGGCCGCAACGACGGAGGCCGCTCTTACTG